GATAATGGGAAAATTGGATAGAAATGCCTAGAAGAAATAAAAATAAGGCATTACATTTAAGAAATTGAAATATGGGAGAGCTCAGCAGACAGCCAGAGTGCCTGTCCAGGGCTCCCTCTGGCATAGGGGCTGAGAACTCAGAAGACCACCTGAGAGCACCTGGATCATAGTGCTAAGCTTCCCCAAATCTCAAGTACCCAACACCCTAACTGGGACTACATGAGACCCCTCCCAAAGCCCCAGGGCAGATCTCTGCCATTTGGTAGGATAGACCATCACAGCAGAGTGCCTGTTCCAGCCTCCCTCTGGCATAAGGGCTGAGAACTCAGGGGACTGCCTGAGAGTGCCTAGATCCTGCCCCTCATGTGGTGGTAAGCTTCCCCAAATCGTGCTATACCCAACCCCCTAACTGGGACTACATGAGGCCCCTCCAGAGGCCCCTGGGCAGATCCCTGCTATTTTGTAGGATAAAGCTAAGATCTCAGCAGATCTCCAGAGTGCCTGTTCCAGTTTCCCTCTGGCATAGGGGCTGAGAAATCAGAAGACTGCCTGAGAGTTCCAAAATCCACATCCCTCCCTCAGGGAACTTCCCAAATTTTGCCCTGATTTCCCACTAGTAGGGGTCCAAACCTTAGAAGGAAGCCTGAGTGTACAGACTGGAACCTGACTTGGGCTTCTGTGGGAGCTCCTGAGTAGCTGATCTGAAGCCATCAGTTCCCTCCAAAATAAAACCTGAGAGAACCTGAAACCTGGACCAACCAGCATTGCATAACCAATAAGAAAAGGGCCAAGGCACACCAGTAATACAAACAGAAACATACTTCAACTTAATTTTCATATCAAAATCATAAACAAAAGAAGTTCACATGCCAAAATCACAATGAAAGAATAATAAAATGGAAAGCCAAAACACTATGTCCCCACCAACTCCACCTGTCCTGTAGAAGAGTTCTACAATGAGAATCCCCTAGAGATAACCCAGGATGGTCACAGGGGTCCAGGGAACACTTTGATGGAGTCCTTTGTCTTCAACATGTATGAAAACTCACATGAACAAACAAATCAGAGAACTAAAAGAAGATAGAGATAAACATCTAAATGAATTCACAAAAGAGATAGAAACATTGAAGAAAACTCAGGCAGAAATGAAGAAGGAAGTGCAAAACTCAATAAACCAACTTGAAATAACAGAGGAAAGCCTCACCTCTACAATGAATGAAATGGAAAACAGAATATCAACACTGGAGGATAAAGTTGAAGAACTGGTCCACTAGAGCAAATATTAATGAAAAAAAAAACCCACAGGAATAGAATATGGAAGAGATGTGGGATACCATGAAAAGACCAAATCTATGTATCATAGGCATAGAGGAAGGAGAAGAATTTCAGGTTAATGGTATTGACCAGATCTTAAACAGGATTGTAGAAGAGAATTTCCCAAAATTAAAGAAAGACATCTTCATACAAATATAAGAAGCACATAGAACACCAAATAGGACCAGAAAAGAAACTCCCCACAGCGTATCATAGTAAAAACAATAAATGTACAGAACAAAGAGAGAATACTGAAAGTAGCAAAAGGAAAACAAGTCACATATAAAGGAAAGCCCATCAGAATTACAGCTGACCTATCAATGCAAATATGAAAGCCAGAAGAGCCTGGACCAAGTTCCAATGACCTGGACAAAGTTTCCAGTTCTAAATGTCAATAGACACCAGCCCAGAATACTCTACCCACCAAAAATTCTATTACAATTGAGGGGAAAAGAAAAATCTTCCATGACATGAATAGCTGGAAAGAATACATGTCCACGAAACCAGCTCTTCAAAGAATACTTGAAGCAATACAGAGAGCAGAGAAAGAAACTACTATACCCCAAGGGCAATGAAAGAAAATAAATAAAGGTATAATCGAGGAAACACAAAATTAGAGAACACAAACAACAACAACAACAA